AAAAAAAAAAAAAAAAAATTGCTTCTTGAGATACAAAATAATAACTGGAAAAAAATATTGATTTTAGATTAAATAGCTTGAACAAAAACATTTGTAATGTAGCTTTTTTTATACTTATATAATTTTTATATAACATTTAAAGTAAAATATTATTAGTAGGTATTAATATTAGCTATTAAATAATATAATAGTAAGAAATATATAATTATGCTTAATTAAAATATAACAGATTTCTATCATGGCTAAATAATGGGAGGAAACATTACTGTCAATTGGATAAGTAAAAGAAAAAAAAAATAATATAAATTAATAATGATGAAAATTTTGTAATGTCTTTTGGGGGAAACCAAAAATATTTATTAACTGTTCTGTAAGTAATTATATTTATAGAGATATATACAAGTTGTCCAACACATAAATGTGCGAAGAGCGCTGAGAAAATAAAACTAATAAAATAAAAGATAAAATTATATTTGTAGTATATAAAACAAGTTGTAATCATAAGTATGTACAACTTGGATAGCAAACCATTTTTTGATCTAAAAGATATTGTTTAATTTTGTGCGCCACACCGTTATTTGATCTAAAAGTTATTATTAGCTTTGTTGTTATTCAGCGATTTTGTTCTCCATTTTGAATTCATGTTTAAAAAATACTGATATTTAGGAATCTATCTAAAAACTTCAGTCTACCTTTCTTTTTTTTTCTTTTTTTTTTTTTTTTTTTTTTTTTTTTTTTTTTTTTTTTAATTTATGGCAAAAATCTCATTAAGTCATGAGATCCTTTTCATGAGATCCTCCAAGGTAACAACCATAAATTCTCTCCTTCTCTCCGTTACTTTAATGTAGTATCAATATGTAATTTTATTTTATAGATAGTTAAAATAAATAAAAAATAAGATATTTAATATTGATTTCTTGACCTGATTAAGTGATGGAGATAGTGATGTTTAGAATCTTCAATTATTATTATTATTATTATTATTATTATTATTATTATTATTATTATTATTATTAGTGGTATTATAGATTTGTTAGGAAACTTATTATTTATCACTTTTGTTAGGATTCTTGTATCTTGTTAGACAAGTTAGTATTGTTAGGATTCTTGTCTTGTTGGACAAGTTAGGATTAGGGTTTATGAGCCTTATATAAAGGACTCCCCCTCTTTTGTTATCTGAAGTTGATTTGAATAAAAATATGAATTGATTGTGAGTTTTATTGAGAAAGTATCTCGTTTTACGTGTTTTACGAGAGAGTATCTCGTTTACTCGTTTATCCTTCCCACTCGTACGCTTTCCCTACATCAGTTGGTATCAGCAGTCAGTACGATTCGCGATGTCGCCGGGACGACAAGATGCCGCAAACAAACAACGTGATGCAATCTTCTACGATCGGTTTCAACAGATTGACTACCGATTTGAAGAGTCGGACGTGCGTTTCACGAATTGGTTTGCAGATCTTTCGACAGAGATCGAGGATTTGCGTTTGACGCTTAACAACGAGATCTGGGATTTGCAGATGAACCGTGTTGTCGGCGACCGGGGTGTGCGCGGGGGAGTTCACGGAGGAAGTGGAGGTCGTGGTCCAGGCGGGGCGCCCCGTCGACGATCTCCACAACCGCCGTCCGGCGATGCA